AAAGGACTTACGAAGAAAAGGTAAACTCCAGTCTGGGCAAGAAGGGGGCCACGGAAACGGCCGCCCCGGCGGTCGGAGTGGAAGAACCAATGGGCAGGGGTTGACGATCCGAAGGGGTAGAAGAAGCGGGCGGCACTAGTCGCGTCTCCTCAGCCGTCATTTCGGAGGCTTCAGCCTATAAAAAGGGGGAAATCAGCGGTAGAATTACGGATGGGAAACAACCACGGTTAGGAAAAGGAAGACGCTTAAATTCGATGGTGCACAATAAATTAGTGTGTAAATGAGAGGATAGAGTTCCGAGAGGACAGAAACCGAGGATCATCTCGAGGAAAGTATCAAATAATTGAAAATGTTAAAATATGGTAATCACGAACGGTGAACACGAGTCCAAAATGGTAGGCCATGTTCCCTCCCGTGTATTTGGTTATGCATTCGCAACATGACAATTGGTGTTGCGCTGACTTCTACTGACCACACCAAACAAAAATCACGGAAAACAAATTTAAATTCCTAAATAAACTGTCACATAAGGTTCCAGTCTGTGATTAGTGGGTTTATAGGGACATCAGCAGGGCAAAGAAAAAAAACATACCCCAGTTTCCACGACGTCCGAAGAGGTGCACTCTGAAAAAAGAAAACGAGGGAGAAAATCTTGGGTAAGACAGGAAAGGAGAGCAGTGGGAGAAAATAAAAAGGAACACAAAGTACAATTTAGAATCGCAAAAAAGGACGGTTGAATGTTTTAGCAGATCAGAGCAACAAAATGAATAGGCTGTATCTCAGGATACACAATTTTTGCTTTAATTACAATGCTCTTCAACCACTTAGGCCCCAGTACCATAATCGGAATTGCTATTCAGAATAATTATTAGTCGGAATGTGCTTGAGACGGTTTAGGGGCAACAGCTCATGCCCTGAAGTGCGCCATTCCTAAACCGGAGATTGAGCAATCTACAGCCAATAAAACGTTGTATATATGCTCTACTTGTATTGTTTCAGTAGCACTGTTGATATTTTAACTATCACAACCCTTTACGGGGTTCCAAGCGCAATGAATGGTTGGTCATCCCGCTGTAGAATTATGGGCTTCTATTTCTGCAAGGATTACAAAGGTGGTCCTGTTTTGCAAAGTTTTACCCGCCACAGATTGTACACAGTAGCGCATTGGCGAACTGGCCAATCCATTCGCTGTCATTTGGTCATATTCTGGAACCAGTGGCTCAAAGCTCCTGCAACATACTG